GGCCTTTACAAGAAACTTTCTTTCATCTATATAAGCTGTTTTCCTTCCCTAAATATAAGTGCCAATATAAGATAAAGATTTTTAAACCATTTTGAGGGGGTTCACATCTATTTCCTTATAAAAGATGCCCCATATACTTTTGCTTTTTGTGGTAAGAAACTAAAATGTGTCATATCATGTGTTGTAACAGTTCAAGGTGTATGGTAAACAAACTCTTTGTACCTCCATGATTGCCATCTGTTGCAAGATGTTATCAAGCCATTTCTTAAGGAAAACATTACTTATACTAGGGCAAACTTCAGGACAAAAGTGGGCACATAACAGGATGTTTGGAAACATAGTGGGCTCAATTGTACTATTGTATACTTTTAACTGTGTGTCATTGCCTTACCATTACTAAAGGTGTTTTTATCATAACATGATTGATCAATTTGAGGTGTCATACCAGTTACAGGAATCACTTCACATTAACAAAAAAACAACAACACCCTCAGGAGAATTCTATGAAGCATCAGAGAGGTGATTGAGTGTCCATACAATGGGTGAGGCAGCAATGAGGTGACCAGAGACATTCTGCTGGGCCTTGCCTCACAGCTAGAAACTCCTCACAGCCTTGCTAACTGAGGAGTGGTGCTCATCACATACCCAAGCCATCTAACCCAAGTGCACGGTTCCCCACAACCATGTAGATCCAGAAGGCTTTCTGCTTTGCTTTTTCATATGGCCTGTCTCTCAGGATGCCTATAGAAGGTATTGTTGCCAGTGGAGGAGCAATTGACTGGGATTTTTCTTCTAGAAATTGTCTAGTGTCAGGTGGAGCAGTGCTATCACCACACCACCCCCAGTTCATAACACAAGAATTGAGCCTCAGCCTTTGAACATGTCTGTGGAGATGGGTAGAAGAAAGACACTTTCGGAAGCTGGGTGGCTCTGTGCATTTACTCCAAGGGAATGTTCCCTGGAGTCAATACCAATGAATCAGCTAGAAACACGTCACTTTTACCAGGAAAGTTACAGCCTCAGGTTTATACTGTCTTCTGCAAACTATGCAACAACAGCAAGCTGGTGCTGCAGAGTCCAAAATCACTATTTCTTTTTAAACTGAGTTTAAGTAAACTCAATAACTCTTCTAGTCTACCCCATTCAGAGGCTCCCGGTCATATCTCCTCTCTCATCCTTGATTCCTGTGTGATAAATCTTACAGTTGTGGGCCAATAGTTAGGTGAGACCTGTTAATTAATGCACTTTTATAAAGGTGTTTAAGAGAAGAAGATGCATAGAGGAGATGAAAGCCCAAAGCTATATTCACCTCGTGCTCTCTTATCTGAGCAGTCTGGCTCCTAAGGGAGAGCGGGAAGATGAATCATGCCTTCCCAAGTTCATGGAAACTATGGATGAAGTTTCAGGATCTTTCATGGATTTTCAGTGATGGGCACTTGAGAGTCAGTTCTGCTTCTGATCCTGTGACATTATCCCAGTTAGTCACTAGCTGATTTATTTTTCCTTTTAAACATTTTTGAGACAACAGTGTCAGGCGCTGATGGGAATGTAACATGAAGATTAAATGATATCTTTCCTCAAGGACTTTATCAGGGAGCAGGGAATAACAATGCCCATCTCTGCTGCAAAGTGCATAGTGCACTAGTAAAACAATCAACTCCAGGGGAACTGAAGTAACAGCTCAGGGGGCAGACAGCCTGGGAGCCAAGGAGCTGTTTTCACACTCTACTGATGATGAATGTGTACATAAAGTGAGAGCATAATGCATCAATAAATCATTTATTCTTGCATTGAACAATAGTATTCTCAACAATGCTCATTTTCTTATTTGGTCATCGCAACAGTTTTAATTAATATGCTTTTTTTTTTACTTAGTAGTTTTCATTCGAATGCCCATAACTAATAATTTAGCTTGCTTATTTATTTAGCCCATTTTTTAGGCCAGGAAGCAAAGACCAGGAAGGGCCATGAATCCTGTCAGAATAACACACCTATGAGCAGTGGTGCACCAGTCGAGCAACACAGCCCACGCTTAGGTGTGTGAAGATATACCTCTATAAAGAGCAATCCTGGGGCCTGACGCGGTGGCGCAGTGGTTAAGGTCCTCGCCTTGCACGCCCGGGTTCCCATATGAGTGCCAGTTCTAATCCCGGCAGCCCCGCTTCCCATCCAGCTCCCTGCCTGTGGCCTGGGAAAGCAGTCGAGGATGGCCCAAAACTTTGGGACCCTGCACCTGCGTGGGAGACCCGGAAGAAGTTCCTGGATCCTGGCTTCGGATCAGCATAGCACTGGTCGTTGCACTCACTTGGGGAGTGAATCGTCGAACGGAAGATCTTCCTCTCTGTCTCTCCTCTCTGTTTATCTGCCTTTCCAATAAAAAATAAAACAAATCTTTAAAAAAAAAAAAAGAGCAATTCTGCAAATAGTTTTTTTCATACCACCAAACTTCCAAGTATTTTCTTTGCACCAAAATGTTATGGAAACCAAACTGACCCTCAAGGCAAACAGTGGGGTTAAATTATCCAATATTCACCATATGTGCTTCAGCTCTAACAATCTGTAGATTGCAGTAATTCTCTGGGTGCCTTGGTATCTGAGGTGGCACCTGAGAAAACAGCACTCATACTTATTCAGGACTGTAGGGTCAGCTGGCGGGCCGACAGTAGATGGGGAATTTATGGAACTTGACTTGTCTTCAGAATTGTTACTCCATCAAACAACTTATTTCCCTGAATTTATTTTTTACTTAACGGATCTTAACACCAATGCAACTCTGCCCTCTCTAGGGATCTGGGTACACAAGACAGATCAAAACAAAAGAATAACACAAGAGGACATCAAAAAGTTCATGAAAAATAAAATTGAAGTTAAGATTATTTTGTTACCAAAAGATTTGAAATGTGCATGTAACTTTTTCATAATATACACTTTCATCAACTTTTTGGAGACTCTCTGCATGTATGGACTTCAAAAACTTTTGCACCAAAATAAGTCTAAGTTTTAAGTCGATTCTGAAATAACTTTCTGAAGTCTTCCACGTATCAATTGGAAACCCCACTCATTTTAGCTCTGGAAGGGCTCTATTTTATGGTAAGAGAGATCTGGGGATAGAAAATTCAAACTGATTTGCATGGTTGACCAGTTCCAAGCCCATTTCTCAGCACATCAGTAAAGTGACACAGAGTAGCAGCACAGTATAAGTTGCTGCATGGATAAGGGAATAAACAAATGCGTATTTGAACATACGAGCGAAAAAATGAATGAAAAGGACGGATGGTTTCCAACAAGAGCTGAGCAAGAGACTTTAGTATCTAGTTTTATCGGATCAACAAATGTATTTCTCATCATAAGAAAATGCAAAATCAAATCCCATTGCTGACAATGTTATGGCTTATTTTGCCAACATGCTCTCTATCGGTAGCCTGCACTGTTATTCTTACCTAATGTCATTATTCTTCCCTTATCTGTTACCTTTTCTGGAAACTTATCTCTACTCAAAAAATGAGGTTATACTCCAGCAGTTATCAGGCTGTGCTGTATTGACAGCTGCTTGCCCTGCTGACTTAGAACGGTGATTGACTCAATGGACATAGCAGGAAGGGCTTGCACCGTGCTTAAATACATTATCCAAAGAGGTTGGAAACTTAATCTCCAAGTCCATATAGAAAGAGTTTCTGGAGGCAGAGCCTTACACTGGTGATAAGAATGGGAAGGGTTTCATGAGAATGAGGGAGGGCTTCATGATATCACGCTCAACTTCATAAGAAGAGGAAGAGCCTTGAGCTGGCACACTTGGCGGTCTAATCATGTGATGCACTTGGCCAAGTTACTATCAGCAAGAAAGCCCTTACCAGATGCTAAGCCAGTACCAGGGATGTGCTCTTGGAATCCCCAACTCCTGAACCTTTTGTTCTTTATACATTAGCCAGTCTGTGGTATTCAGCTTCAGCAACCAGAAATGGCCTGAGCTTATGAGCAAACTTGCCACACAAAGTGGGAGTCTACTGTGAACAGGAAGAGAACTGCATCCTTGCCCATCTACAAGGGGGCATCCACAAGGCACCGAAGGCACCATGGGGCTTGGGACAGAAACGGGCGAAGTGTATTGGAAGTTGACCAAAGGATGAAATGATAGCACTGCTCTGGGCCAATGTTTAGCTAGTAAGATGCTGTGAAGAGAAACAGGGCTTATTGCTAAGCCAGCAGCACAGTTGAATGGAAAATTCAACTGTGAAAATTTTTTCTTGGTTATGGACTGGAGCAGAGGGGTACTGTATTTGAAGAATTGGGACTAAACAGGATGGGAAAGGCCCCTTTGGAGGAGGTTTGGGTGCAGTTGATCTGTTGTAACTCTAAGTAGAGCCTCCAAATGCCAGGACCCTCAGTAAGCGCTGAGGACAGTGAGCCAATTCCCTCCTCACCCTGACTGCATGGAGCTTGTGGTCTAGAGGGTGGCAGAAAGATCCCTGGAGCAGCTGTGAGCACCAGAGTGGCCCTGACAAATCAGTGCTCCGTTTGGGGTTCACATGCTGTGTGGGGGTGGAGGGGATCATCACACATTTCTGTGACTCCATTCTTAAGCAGAAAAAAATGTATATTTGAACTTCACCAGTTTGTTGTGCTTTACCTTAAAGCTGCGTAAAAACAAATCACATTATCTTTTGTTTTGAATGATCTGAAGAGTGCAATCCTGTGTTGCAAAGCTCTCAGGATAAAAGTTGACATTCTATCCACCTAACTAAACCTCCACAGCAGTGTATCAGGGATGCTGTTCCCAAATTTCCTTCAGTTGAAAGATTCTTGCCAATTGAATTTTAATATGATTAAATGGCATTTCTATCATTATAATTGTGTCTTTATTATTTATATGAAAATGGGATAATTTGTCAGGAATCTAGGTCAATGAAGAAACATGTGACCATGACAGATGGGGTCTTGGGATGGCATCCACTTATGTACCATTGACCTCTGGTTCATGAAGGTTATTCTTTTCTCTGTAGGTACCAGACATGTTCCAACAATGGCCTGGTGGCAGGATTCCAGAGCCGCTATTTCGAGTCAGTGCTGGATCGTGAGTGGCAATTCTATTGCTGTCGCTACAGCAAGAGGTGTCCATATTCCTGCTGGTGAGTGGAGGGTCACATCTGACTGCTTGTGACTCCTGGAACTGAGAAAGGAGGCTATGGGAGGCTCTGGCTTCAGATAAGCTTGTTGTGTCCAACATATTGGATTCCAGTATAAAACAACTAATATGCACAGTTCTCTCTCTCCCATTCTCTCTCTCTCTCTCTCTACACACACACACACTCACGCAGATATGAAGTGTACAAGGGAGATTAGCATACAAGGAAGTAAAGGTACTATAGAGAATGAGTCTTTATTCTGGAATTATAACAGGACTCCCAATGACACATATAAATATACCTTTACATTGTGATACTGTTTCCTAACCTTTCCTATGTCATAATGTAGTTAACACCAGAAAGTTAAACTTGTAACTGTGCACTGAATTGCTAGGCTTTTGTGAGAACATGGAGACAAATAGTGGGAAGGGCAACGGGGAGGGAAGAAGAGTCGGGAATAAACTCCAATGCCTATAAAACACACACACTGGAAGTACAGCAGCTGGTACATAGAAGAGAATGGATGAGGGGATGAATGAGTTACAGGAATGTTCACATTGGGAGGGGCCTCATAACTGATCCAATCCAATGTTCCTAACCCTTTGTCATGTCAGAAAAGGATCCAGACCCATAGAGTAGAGCCATGACTGGCGGAAAGTCACCCAGCTGCAGCATAGGAATGTCAGATCCTGAGCTGACACCCTCTGACTCTGAGCCAGGGCTTTGTTCCCATCTATGGTACACGTCACATCAAAGGCCGCAGCACTTATTTGGAAGCCTGTTTCCTCGTAGCTCCTCCTTAAGAAACAACCCTGTCATTGATCAGAGTCTAGTATAGAGTTACAGGCAGAAAAAAAATTAAAACTGCTATTTTCTGAATTACTTTATAGTTACAGCCCCTGATAATTTGTTCCCTCCCATAATCCCTGGGTGCATTGCAAAAGTTCCTGACCTGGATCTCCAACAGAATGGAGAAGTATGTATACATTTGTGTCCCTGTCAACGTACACTTGGTGCTGATAACAGAGCATGTTCTGAGTTCTTTCATCTGCAATCCAATCAAGCACGTCTGTCTCAGCAGAAGGATCCTGAAGTGTCACATTTCAAGTTTACTTCCTCAACTGATTTATCTCCCAGCAATCTGTTCTATGGAAAAACTGGTTATGCATAAAGAGAGGTTATGCCTCTCTTCAGTCAGACGTCAAGGACGTGCAGAAGCCCAAGTGGGCACTGTGTCTCTAGAGACACCAGTTCCAAAGCTTAATGTTTTAGGGAAAATAAACAGTAAACTCAGAGCTCTACATTAACCAGCACCTATAGGTGTGTGATTAGACCAGGAAATCCCCACCCCCACTCTCCAAAACCACAAAGCAGTTCTTACTCCACCACAGCCGGAGAGCAGGCACGAATAGGGTTGATGATAGCGTGTGGCAGCTCCTGAATCACACACCTGAGGATTCGTGGAAGGAGAGTTGGTGTGTGCCACATAAATTTGAATTCAAGTTTCTTTTCTTTTTTTTTTAAAGATTTATTTATTTACTTTTACAGAGAAAAGCAGAGACAAAGATCTTTCATCCATTGGTTCACTGCCCAAATGATCACAACAGCCAGATGTGAAGCCATGAGACTCTTTCAGGTCTCCTATGCAAATCCAGGGTCACAGACTTTGGGCCATCCTCTGCTGCTTCCCCAGACCATAGAAGAGAGGTGGATGGGAAGCAGAGTAGCCCGGACATGAATTGGGACCTATATGGGATACCAGCACTTGCAGGCAAAGGCTTAAGCCAGTTGAGCCATCACACCAGTCCCGAGTTCTAATTTCTGTACTGGAGCCTCTTGACTCTCTCTGCCCTCCTTTTTCTCCCTTCCACACTCTATTATTTTAATCATACATGTTACTTATTTGAAAAGCAGAAGACAGGCTGGGGCAGGGGAGAGACAGACAGAAAGGGAGGTCTTGCATCTGCTGATTTATTCTCCAAATGGCACAATAGCAAGGGCTGGATGAGGCCAAAGCCAGCATTCCACTGCTCAGTGCCAGTCTCCAACATGGGTGGGAATGAAGCAGATGTGGGTCTCTGTTGCTAGGCGCTCAGCCTCATTACTGTGAGGATATAAAAAATGGTGAGTCAACATTGAAGCCAACTTTAATGATGACAGGGCCCTCTACACTGTAACTGCGCTGTCTCTATTTAATCATTTTACTTCTTTAGTAGCCTCAAGTATCTCACTTAAAATGACGGTCTCTTCTTATGGGTCTCCAAAATATTTAAGAATTGATGAAAACAAGTGATTTTGCCTTCGGGGTAAATGCATTGAAATTTGTTTATACAACATTATGGAGAATTTCAGGAATTTTCCAGCTCTCCACAGACCTTTCCTGGATGTAAGATTCCTGCATTGCAAGCTGAAACTCCCAGCACTTAAAGACCTTTAATCCTCACATGTTTCTTAATTCCAACGGTGCTTTTGCACAAAGCAGTCCAGATACTGCAACTGCCTCCAAACTGCGATTAAAATATCTGAAGATAGGTTGGCCCGAAGAGAAGGGAAACAAAGCAGGAGTCAGCCCTGTGACGTGAGACGCGTGGCCTTCCCAGATCTCTTCTCCACTCTGACAGATAGGACAACACCACCTACCAGCAATTCAGTCTCCGTGGTTTTTAAGGGTTCAAATTCAGCTGAAATGTAAATAAACTGTCAGAAAGAGCAAACACATGCAATTAATTCATGTACCACCATAGCAAGGCTTCCCCGTGGTCAGGCTCCAAGGGTGCACATCAGGATTAGAGGTGCCCTGGGTGGCCACCTAGAATGTGTTCAGGCGCAGGAGAGGAAGTGGACATGGAGAAAGCAGCCATGAATTGGTTTCAGTGGTGAGGATGGAGAGAATGACCATACCTGGGCACCTGTGGCCCCAACCAAGGGTGGCCTGTCCCCCTGCCCTCCGAAAGTCCCTGTGACAGTACTTTCTCTGCCTATTGACTACTTCTGAGTACTGTCTTTTCCTGGAGTGTCTGTAGGATAGAGGGACTCATTGGTCAAAATATTTTTAGGGTCCATAGTAGTGTTATAAACATGAAGTTTTCTTGACCATTGTGGAGAGAACGTTCAAGAGATGACTCGACATGGTATGCAAATAAAGTGAAGTGATCCAGAAAATAGCATTTTCTTACCTCCTTAAAAAATTGGAGGGGTGGAGGGAGGCGATGAGATGGCTCAATTGACTAACACTCCACTTGCAAGCGTCAATTTGTGTCCTGGCTGCTCCACGTCCCACCCAGTTCCCCAGTTATGGAGTAGAAAAGCAGTAGAGGATAGCCCAAAGCCTTGGACCCTTCACCTGCATGAGTGACCCAGATGAAGCGCCTGGTTCCTGGCTTTAGATTAGGTCAACTCTAGCCATTGTGATCATTTAGGGAGTGAACAAGCAGATGGAAGATATTTTTGCATTTCTCCTCTCTGTACATCTGCCTTTTCAATAAAAGTAAATAAGTCTGGAAAAAAAATATGTTTTTAGTTTCCTTCCCACATCTGTTCTAGTATATAAGCTCTACATAAATACAAATCATTGTACTGATGTGTACCAAGCCTGTTTTTTCAGATTTCATTTTATTTATTTGAAAGGCAAGATGACAGAAAAAGAGGAAGAGGACAAAGACAGCTTTAAGCTGTTGATTTGCTCTCCAAACGGCCACAATGACCAGAACCGGATAAGGCAGGAAGGAAGCAGAATAGTCAGGGTTTGAATTTGACATCTGATGTGGCATGCTGGCATCACAGCAAAGGCTTAATTCACTGTGTCACTCACTGATTTCTGTTCCAAGCCTTTAAATAATGTCAAGCACACACTAACATTTGTTGGATGAATAAGTGAGTAAGTATTCACTTAACTCCCCTGTTTTGCTGTGATACTTCAATGAGATGTTTATACCGCAAACCGCTGTTGTATATGATCACATGAAACTAGCTCACCTTCCAAGCTGGAGGAGAGACCCAGCATCTGCTTTCAAAGGCAGAGATATGCTAGGTGTCAGATCATCCTGCAGGGAGTAGAACGTGTTTGTTTATTTGTTTGTTTGTTTGTTTGTTTTAAGGATTTATTTATTTATTACAAAGTCAGATATACAGAGAGGAGGAGAGACAGAGAGGAAGATCTTTCATCCAATGATTCACTCACAACTGCCAATGCTATGCCAATCTGAAGCCAGGATCCAGGAACTTCTTCCAGGTATCCCACACGGGTGCAGGGTCCCAAAGCTTTGGGCTGTCCTCGACTGCTTTCCCAGGCCACAAGCAGGGAACTGGATGGGAAGTGGAGCTGCCGGGATTAGAACCGGTGCCCATATGGGATCCCGGGGGCACGTTCAAGGCGAGGACTTTAGCTGCTAGGCCACGCCGCTGGGCCTGGGAGCAGAACTTACAACTGGAAATGTTTCTGCCGAGGAAGGACCATGTCTAGGTGGACAGTCAACTGGGAGACACTGAAGTATCCTTCCCCTAGCAGAGAAGGAACGAGCCATTGCATTCCTCTTCACAACAAGGCCCAAAGTAGCCTTCAAAATGAATGGGAGAGTCTGCCCTGTCTGGAGCCAGGTGGTCATGGCCACTTCCCAAAGAGAACAACAGGGAGTTATCTCAGGTTCAAGGCTTTGGCTATCTGTCATGCAAGAAACTGGTGTTTTAAAAGCTCTCACATGGCAGAGGTGGGGAGTGAGTGGAAATAAGGGTGAGATAAAGGGGAAAACATCTGAATCTTCCTTGAATCCACATAGCCCATGGATTCCTATATTTGTCTTTGAGCATTGCTGCCTGAAGTTTCTCATTGTGGTTTTGAGGCTGGGGTTTGAAAAGGACAGGTCTTTGTTTCTCAAATCCCACTGGTGGGCTAAGTATACCTCAGTGTTCCTGAGGCCTCGTGGAGGCTGGTTCAAGGCTTCACAGGCCACAAGCTAGGTAACCTAATGTCGCAGGTGGATTCAAAGGGCAGGGTTATCACACTC